TACAGCCTATAGACAGACCTTCATGAATAATCATAAATTTCCCTCAGTTCCAGTGTGCCTGTGTGAAAAGAACATTCCATAAGAGAGAGATTATAATCGTTGGTGGTAATTACACAAAGTTCTGAGTCATTAGACGCTATTAATTGTCTGAAATATAACTAGAAGAAAAATAAACATCGAGAGGAAATCTAGCATGACTACAATTAAGTTTAATTCTGATCCCTCCAGTCTATAGGAAAAAATCTCAAAGTCAGTGTTTCAAAATTGATTTAATTAACGTTTAAGTAACTTTTTAGTAATGTTTAAATAGCTTTTTAGTTGTTTAACCAGCTAGCAATCTTTGTTCTTTATTTAGCTGCATATGACTTCAAAACTCCTTTTACCCTGTGTTTTCTGACACCATTTTTTTTTTTAAATCGGTGGTGTTCATGCAGTTAACATTTGATAGGAATCCAGTCAAGTAGAACACTTCTACTGGAGCCAGCGGCTCCCAGGCAAATGGCTGCTGCATCCGAACCGAAGGCCAGGACCTCAGTCCTTTGACTTGTCTTCTGCCTCATGAGCCATCTCCTCCTATCACCCTGAGCACCACATACCCAAACCCCAGATCCTCACTTACTGCCCTAAATAAATACACCCATCCCCCGGTTTGGGGTCCTTCCCAAGTTTGAAACAATCTGCATGATCCCACCCTTCCTGCCGGCCACAGCACCTAAACATCAACTCAAGCCCTGTGTGCCTCACCTCTGAAATGTCTCTCGTCCGCCCCCCTGCCCGTCCTTCCTTTTCATATCCTCCCTCTGCACGACCTCATATGTGCTCCTCAGCTGTTCCCTCCCAGTCACCTGACATGCAGTCTCTGTCCACCTCAGTCTGCCACCAGCCACTCTGAGACCACAACACTCTCTTGCAAGCTCATGCACCATCTCACTGCTGGCGTTTAAATCTCCAGGAGGCTCTTTTGCCTGGTGAACAACTTAACCTCCTGTGAATGGCGTCAAAGGACTTCTGGGCCCCAGATACACTGTTGTTCCAAGGTTACATCACACGAATCCACTACAGCACTCTCTGCTTCAATCCGAGTAGACTACACACCATGCACCAAAAAAGTCTATGTGTGTCCCCACACCTTGTTTTTTTTTTTTTTTTTTTGCCTTGTCCACTGGGCATAAGCCTTTGTCAAGCATCTCTATCTGCTGGCTTTGATGTGCTTTGAATGCCCTTTCCCAGGAACCATCTCCTAAGAGTTTGTCTTCAGCAGGGAATGATTTCTAACCTTGCCTTCATTATTCTAGCATTGAGCTTAAATTTCTCTTAGCATGATCTTTTATTTTAGAGCCATACCTTTCCTCCCTAAACAGACTGAAATCTCCAAGAGGGTAGGCAAAATGCTTTCTTCCTATTTTGACATAACAGACAACAAAATACAGTGGAAAGAATATGGGTTTTAGAGCCACCAAGTGCGAATTTGAATCTTGACTCTGTTACTTACTAGTTGTTACCTTGACCTTACCTTACTTTAACCACTCTGAGCCTGTTTTCTCGTCTGTAAAATGGGGATGATGCTAAGTAATATGAGCATTAGCCTTTACTGAGAATAAAATGATATATAGATTCAAGATACATCCTTCAAAGAGCATTTGTTTTACCACTTTTCTTTATATGTTAGTGTCTATACTGTGCCTTATACATAGTAAATGCTCAACTATGATAAAGACAGAAGGATGTTGATATCTGTCTAACTGGGGTTGGTACCCTTAACAGCTCCATCCTGCCCACAAATAAGGCAGTAGGCACCCCATCTACATGGCTACACCTGTGTTCTGGTGGGTCCACATTCCAGCCAGCCTTAGTGGTTTTCAGACTCTGGTCCCAGAGTTTCTGATTTATGTGGTACAGAGTGAGGCCAATTAAAAGCTCCCCCAGCAATCTGACTGTGTAGTTAGAGTGGCGCATTACTGGCAACCCCTCAGCTTGGTGATTTGATGGAAAATCTTCCTGGTTTTGGTTTCAGTTTCATTTTAGTTCCTTTTTCTCTGTTGCCCTCACGATAGCCCAGCCCACCTCAAGGTACTTCCCAGGCCCACCCTGAGCCTAGGGTAGAATCTGTGCACTGGGAAATTAGATAATCAATGAGAAACATAGATCAAAAACACAGAGGATATCTATCAATGAAGAAGCAATGTATTCGTATTATTGATTACATATTAGTTTTAATATAGGCTTTGTAGCTATTGTCTTGCAGCCACTGAAGTGATACTTGCCACTAAATTGACTGCAATGGATGATATGTATTGGAATGTGTGTCCATCTCTGCACTCACTCAATGTTCCTGTTGTATCAGCCAACTTTTAGAAGGAAAGAAAGGGGGAGGGGGTGCTAAAAAAATATAAAGCTATATTTGAACTTCAGAGTACAGAAGAATCACCTGGAGCCATTGCTGATCATGCAGAGGACTCAGTGGTGAATACTGGAAATACTTGAGTTCAGAAGAATAGTTGGACCAATAGTTACAGTGATAGTTGAAATTACGGGGGGAGGGGAAAGTCTCCAAAGTGATTAAGAAAAAAGCAGACAATAAGAGAGAATAGAAGGGATCTATAACTAAAGTACTAGACGAGAAAGAGGGGAAAAAAGAGTAGTGTCCTTGAAGCCATGGATAATTTCCAGATAAGTGCTGAAATGCAGATTCCTGGGCCCCACTCCCAGAGATTCAGATTTACTCAATTTGAGATGGGACCCAGAAAGCTACACTTCTCACAGTATACCTGCATTTGACATGGATCCATTTTGAGAAGCACTGGTACATCTTGTTTTATAAGTAAGTGAAACCTCCCCCAAAACAAAATGCTTTATATGAGTTCATTTGATATCCAGTTTCTCTTGTATATTTCTTTTTTTATTTTTTTAAGTGTTTTATTTATTTATTTTTTTGAGAGAGAGACAGACACCGTGAGCAGGAGAAGGTCAGAGAGAGAGGGAGACACAGAATCAGAAGCTCTGAGCTAGCTGTCAGCACAGAGCCCGACGCGGGGCTCAAACCCACAAACTGTGAGATCATGACTTGAGCTGAAGTCAGACGCTTAACAGACTGAGCCACCCAGGCGCCCCAAGTTTCTCTTGCATGTTTCTAACATTGACCATAACACATGGGAGATGACAAATTATCTTTTATTGCCCCAAAACTTGGCTAACATTAGAAGAAACTTACATTAATTAAATAAATTCAAGTTAACATCAGGATAACTTTAACTTACCCTTTCTCTCATTACACCTACAAAATCCACAAATCCCCCCATCTGTCCAAGAGGAATTCTATTCCAGTGGAGGTGGGGAAGGGTAGTTTTCTTTGGTGGTATACAAGATTCAGAAGTTTAGCAAACCAAAGCACAGATGTGACACATGTTGTAGTACCAGCTACCTTTACATCACTAAAAATAGTCTTAGGGGCTCCTGCGTGGCTCAGTCTATTAAGCAACTGACTGTTGATTTCAGCTCCGGTTATAATCTCATGGTTGTGAGACTGAGCCCTACACCAGGCTCTGTGCTGGGTTTGGAGCCTGCTTAAGATTCTCCTCTCTCTGCGTCTACCCTGCTTGCTCACGCTCATGCACTCTGTCTCTCTCTAAAAAATTAAAATAAAATAAAGATAAAATCTGATATGGTAGCTACCATAGCAAAGGAGGGATCTTTCATTTTTGCTTCTGTTCAAAAATATTTATTCAATACCTATTCTGTGTCAGGAACTACTGACGAGATATGAATATGAATGAAATAAAGTTCCTACTACTGCAATGGCACTACAGTGACAGTCACATAACAATATTTAAATGTATCAGATAAATTTATATAATGTAATATGTCAAATACATTTCAGTTTTAAAAATAAGCTAGTAATGTTCCTACTCTCAGGAGGTTTGTGTTCCAAATAAGTCAGCAATTCCCACAAACATTTATGGGGTACATTCTGTGTAGAGGGCACAGAGCTAGATATTGGATGAGGAGGGTTAGGTGAGATGCTGTCTTTGGAAGTTACTCAGTTACTCTAGAGGCACTCATTTCTTAGGTACTCTGCTAGGTTCTTCAGATGCAGAGATTACATGGGCTAGTCCTGACCCCTTGGAGTTGGGAGTACAAGAGATAGTTAACAACTGATTGTAATACAACATGGAAATATACATGGAGTGTTTTGGGAGCATGGGTCCGCTAAAGATGAAGCTGGGAAAATATATTGGGTCCAGACTGTGAAGACATTGAATGCCCTGGTCAGGGGCTCGGACTTCACTTCATAGGCTGTGCAACCTCGGAAGGTCTTGGCGCGAAAAGGTGACGTGATCAGACTTGTGTTCTGGAAAGTTACCTGGAGACAGGCCAGTTAAGAAGCTATGATAAGAGCCTAGGCAACGGATAATGAAAGCTAGAGCTAGAGTTGTGACAGTGAAGATGAAATGAGAAGTCAAATTCAAGACTTCCAGAATCAGAAATGGCAAGATACGTAAGAGGAAGGATGTGGAGGGGAGAGGGCAGAGGAAGTGAAACTCCTAAGACCTAGCTTGGATGATTGTGTGCGCAGGGAGCCTATTAGCCAAGCTAGGAAATAAGGGAGGAGAGCTCAGTCTGAGGCATGGGAATGAGGGTAGAAATAATGACCTGTTCCAGTTGGCTAACTGTGAAAGGGTGCAGTTGGAGGATTTATGAGCAGTTGGAAATACAAGTCAGGAGTTCAGGAGCAAGGTTGAAACTGGACATGGAGATAACAAGAAGAGATAGTTGAAATTATGGCAAAAAACTAGATGTCCAAAGGGTGAGTGAGGTAAAAGGAACTGATGAAAGAGACCATAGAGTATCTATTGCCAATATAGCAAAAGTAGAATAGGATGGAAGCCATGGAGAACGGTTTCCAGAAAAACATAAGTGGTCAGAATGTGAGAGCCCAAGAATAAAGAAGTCTCCCCTTTAATTATCTCATCTCTCTCATGATTCAAGCGTCATCAATGTGCTGATGATTCCTTTTTTTTTTTTTAATGTTTTATTTTTAAGTAATCTCTACATCAAACATGGGGCTCAAATTCATGAGTCACACCCTCTTCTGACTGAGCTCTGTCTCTCATACAGAGCTCTCCTCCCACTCCTTCAACTTCCAACTCATTCGTTCATCCATCGAAACAAAATGCATACATTATCCTTCGATGGGCCACACGCTGTGATTGGAAGACAGTGTTCCAGTTTCCACAAGGGCACAGGATAGTCGTGTTCTTGCTCTCCAGCAGCTCCCAACACAGGGATCATCCAGCTCAGGGTTCCTGGAGGGAGTGACATCTTAGCTGAGACACGAAGGAGAACAAGTTAAATAGAACAAAAGGGGGGGTGGAAAGTTCTCACTTCTGGAGATGAGAGAAGGCCGGTGTTTTCTGTAAACTGGGGACCTGTAAGGCAGCAAGAGGAATGAAATAGGTGGGTCTGGGACACGACGAGGGGACAGACAACGCAGAGCTTTGAAAGTTGTGTGAGTTATAGACTCATAATAGTAAACACAATAGTTTCATTGTGTTTACTATATATAACACCATGTACACTTAATATGCTTTGAGTATTTGATTTGCATTTACAAATATTTAAAAAAAATTTTTTTAAACATTTATTTATTTTTTGAGAGACGGAGACAGAGCATGAGCAGGGGAGGGGCAGAGAGAGGGAGACACAGAATGTGAAGCAGGCTCCAGGCTCTGAGCTGTCAGCACAGAGCCCGACGTGGGGCTCGAACTCATGAACTGTGAGATCATGACCTGAGCTGAAGTTGGATGCTTAACTGACTGAGCCACCCAGGTGCCCCTCCATTAAAAAATCTTTACAATAATCCTACAAAAATCTTTACTTACAAGGTAAGTACTACTAGAATCCCCATTTCTCTAATGGCAGTAGCAGTTCATTGACAGATTTTGAACAAGGAAATGGTGTAAGCAGGACGTCCCTACCTGAAATATGGAAGTCATCATTATTGCTTTCCCAAGCCAGCCTCTCCGTCTCCATTCTTTGTCTCAGCCCTGGCACCACTACTCTCCCAGGCGGTAAGCTGGAAACTGGGGAATCCACCTTTACTACCCACTTCTAACCACTTACTAAACCTTGCCAACTTTCTGCTCCCTTTCATCTCTTGGATTCAGAACCTCCTGTCTGTCATGGAGACCCTGTCACAGCCTCTGTGTTGGTTCCTGGCCTCCTCAAGGCCTGTCTCCCTTCTTGAAATCTGCCTCTCTCTAAAATGCAAACATGGCCACATAAGGCCTCTACTTTAAACACAGCACACCTTCCCAGGGCCCATGAGTGCAGCGGGAGCCAGGACACTCCCATTGTTAGGTAAAGTGGCTCACTTCCAAGACAATGACACACCGTCCAGGTGACATGTTAACACCTGGCGTGTAACCAGTGCTTACTCCCTGCCAGGCTCTGCCCTCAGCCCTTGAGTTAACTCAGTTCTCACAATAACCCTACCCGTGACAGTTAGGGGAAACTGAGGCATGGGATGGTGAAATAACTTGTCAAAAGGACATTGAGCTGATAGGACTGCAGTGTGCACCTGACTCCTGGGTCGTACTCCTAACCTCAACTGTTCCCTGGGGAGAGCAGAGAAAAGCAGGCCCCGTGAGGTGTGGGAGGAAATGAAATGAAGTCTAATAGAGCTTTGGGATGATTCTGCTATGACAGCTGCCTTCTGTCACCTCGCACACCTGAAGAACCACATGTGTACAAAGTCTAGTTTTTCACGTGGCCCTCGACTAGTAGCTTTTCGAGTCCTCTCTGCACTCAACTGGCTGCGTGGCCCTTCTGTTTCACTGCCCGCGTCTGGCGCCCAGCCCTCAGCCGGAGGGCACCTGGTGGTGTGGCCCTCCCTCCTTCCACCTCTCCCCCACGCTGTCAGCCCACTGCCCAGCCCTGTGTGTAGGACAAGACAATCCCCCCAGAATAATGTTGCATACAGACCACTGGGTCCGGCCTGCTCTACCCAACCCACCTTGGACTTTTCCCCGCTCTATTCAGTTTTACAGCGTTCTACCAATATTGTAACTCAGCTTTGTTCTTTGATTGAAACTGACAGTGACAAAGGTGTAAATGCGTTCCATTCATTCAGCGAGTCTTTTTTTTTTTTTTCCCAAGTCCTTCTATCTGGCAGGTCCTGTGCTAGACGCCGGGACAAATAGTGTACACCACCTTAACAGATGCCCCCTTTTCATTTGCCACACTGTGATCAGACCACGAGGGGACACAGCTGGTGCTCCCTAGCACATGGTGCACACTTGGTTCAGTACACAGCACACGGGATTGTAATCACCTGTCTACATGTCTGTCCTCCCTCTAGACCGGACTCCCTAAAGTCTGCAACGTGTTCTTTTCCCTTTACATCCCAGAGCCTAAAGCGATTATCTGTGGGATGGAAATGAACTTGAGCCCTTTTCAGTAATACAGCACTTGACCCCTGTTAGATACGCAAGTTTAATGTGTGCTCGCAGTGGGCCAAGCACTCCCTCAAATGCTTTCCACACATTAGTTCATTTAATGGTCATGAGAGAACAAGGGAGGCACCAGTTTTCCAAATGAGGAAAACAGGGCCAAGAGAGGGTAAGTGACCTGACCCAGGACACCCTCCCATGCGGAACACCACATACTCCTTAGGTTCAACCGTTGGCCTAATTTTAGTCTTAATTTAGCTATAACCTGTGACTCCCTAGTCCTACCACTCTGCCCAGATTTCTGGGTATCTCTCTGGCATGTAGTGTGTTCACTTGATAAAATGTTTCCAAGCATGTTGCCATTAGAATTGCTATTCCCAGGAAAAGCAGGAATAGAAGAGTCTAATTCTATTTTATGCTCACACACAGGGTTTAACAGGAGACCTGTACACATACATACTATGGACGGGTGTGTGTGTTTGACACGTACATACTATGAACATGTGGAGGGGGGTGGGGGGAAGATACATTTTTCAAGCAAAGGCAAATTTCTCTTTTTTGAAGCATTTCAATTCTAGCCACACACACACACACACACACACACACACACACACACACAAGCTTTTGTTATTTGAGCTGTTTCCTTAATGCTCCCACTTGAAAAGAAGAAACCCTTCCCCACACAACCCCCCCCCCCCAAACTGGATTTAGATAAGCCTAAAGCCACAACCACCCTGTAGATTGCAGAAGAATTGGCCTTCAGGTGGGGCTTTAATGAAAGACTTGAATTCTTAGGGGTCACCTGAGTGCCTTTTGCAGAACCTTCCTCTGTTCTCCCTGGGGGGTGGGGGGGCCTCTCCCTCCCTCTCCCTCTCTCTCTCTCTCTCCCCCTGTCCCACCCTCATTTATCTATGTAAAGGTACTTCAGAGACTACTTGCTGACTCCCCGCAGATAGCCTGCCCCGCAGACCCCGCCCCCCCCCCCCACACCCTCAGCGCCCAGGATGAGTCCCTGCTGAGCCTGTTACCAGACACTGAAGACCCAGGTGGGGCAGGGCTGGGCAGGGCCGCCAGGCCACCTCATCCGGGAAATCCCAGGTTCCTCACCTGCCTCTCTCTCCAGTCCTTCCACAGTAAGCTGCAAGCAAACTTTCTGCAGCTTTGGACTTTGCTCCCAGGTGTCCGGCCCCCCAGACCCTCCCTGCCCTCCAACTGCTTTCCACTCCGGGCCACCAAGTCCCACAGCATACCTTACATTCCACTTCCTTACCCTTCTTTAAGGATACTCCAAAACATAGAAAGGCGAAACAAACTTTGTCATATACTAAAAACCCATTATTTTCCAAAGACAAGCATCAGGAACTTTATTAGCACTAATCTGAGACGTAATGGCATATATAGGTTTGTACATATTCATTCGCCTAGTATTTTTAATGAGCCTCTATTATATGCCTGTCTGGTGTGGTGTTGTGCACCGATAATACAAGTTGTATAAGAACAGGCTTTCTGTCCTCAAGGAACAGGAAGCCCCTGGGGAGACAGACAGGTGCCAACCTAAACCCCTCCCCCCAGTTCAATGTTAGGAGCAGATTGGCACAGGGGTGAAGGCAGCCTAGGAAGGACGGCCAGGGTGCCCTCTGCCAGGTTTTCTTCTTCTCCCTCCTCCCCTCTGCCTTTACCTAAAACAATGGCAGGGCAGCAAACCCTGGATTTCCCTGGGGCTTCAGCTTCAAGGGTTTCTTCCAGGGACATTTCTTATTCCTTTGGGTCACTCTCGCATTCTTTCATTCCACAGATGTTCTTTGAGCCCCACCTGTGTGAGCCCTGTCCTAGGCTCTGGGGAACCGGCAGTAAGGAGACTCTGACCTCTTGAGTCTAATGATCTCAGGGTGGGGGAAGCAAAAATGTAAACGAGCAAACCCAAAATGAATTCACTAATGATAAGCGTTAAGAAAATGCAAAGGGGCGGTAGCCATTAGTAATGCTGGACTATTTCTTCGGAAAGGAGGACCTTTGGGATAGGATGTGGGTCTGAGACCAAGGTGACACGGGAGTCTCATGTGCAGAAGCAGACAGAAAAGACCGGGTGGGACAAGGCCAGAAGCTGGGACTGAACCTGGCATGCTAGAGGGGCAGAAGGAAGCCCAGTGCGGCTAGAGCCTGGGGTCCCAGGTAAGAGAGGAATGGGAAGGGCTGAGGTCACACATAGCACAGGTCAGGTCACTTTGGGCCAGGCAGGGGCCTGAGGTGGGGATTTGATCCTAAGGGCAACAACTCTGGAGGGAGTATGCAAAGCTGGACAGTTTCAGTTCATTGTTTTGTAAACAAACAGAATATAAAGCTTACTCTGTACTAAGCCCCTGTCTACTTTGTAGACGTCCATGAATATAATCCTTACAACAACCCTGTGAGGTTGATATTCTTATGCATTTTGCGGGGGGAGAAACTGAGGCCTAAACTGATTAAGCCGCTTGCCCAAGGTGACTCAGCTGACAGCGTCAGGACTTGAAATGCACATTTGACTAGTATTCTAGGCCTCACAGTAGGCTGAAGAACCATTATTAAATGCTGTCTTTAAAAATAGAAGAGTTGGGGTACCTGGGTAACCCAGTCTGTTGAGCATCCAACTTTGGCTCAGATCTTGTGGTTCATGGGTTCGAGTCCAGTGTCAGGCTCTGTGCTGACCGCTTACTGAGAGCCTGGAGCCTGCTTCAGATTCTGTGTGTTCCTCTCTCTCTGCACCTCCCCTGTTTGTGCTCTGTCTCCCTTTCTCAAAAATAAACTAAAAAAAAAAATTTTTGTTTTAATGGAAGAGGGACGCTTGGATGGCTCAATTAGTTAAGCCACTGACTCTGCCCAAGTCATGAGGTCACGGTTACTAAGTTTGACAGCAAGGAGCCTGCTTGGGATTTTCTCTTTCTCTGCCACTCACCCGCTTGCACCTTCTCTCTCTCAAACTAAATAAACTTAAATATATA